TTTCTTATGGCCTTTTCTCCAAAGATAGTCACTGAAAAAAATTTAGATAGATATTAAAATTATAAGCAAGCAAAAGCAAACTGTGCAAGAATAAAAATTAGTTCTTACTTTTATATCTTACACTAGGAGTGGTAGCAATAGTGTCTGTTCCAAATTCCTGCGCCAATCGCTGGCTGAAAACCTCCATGTGAAGGAGCCCTAGAAATCCTAAACGAAAACCAGCGCCAAGAGCAGCACTGTTGCAGAAATAATCCGTTTAAAAAAAATTATTTTTGATTTTATGGCTCTTAAAGAGAAAAATAATCAATTTCAATTTCACCTTGTTTCCATCTCCATTGTAACACCAGAATCATTGATAAGTAGTTTTTCTAAAGCTATCCGTAAGTTTTGGAATTGAGACTGATCAATCGGATACAATCCAGCATACACCATGGGCTGAGCAGGAGGAAATGCACTAAGTGGTGTGATCAAATCCTTACTTTTATGAGCTGTTGAGCCTAGTTGAGCTTCACCAGCAGAGCGGATGTTACAAAACATATACCCAACTTGGCCAGCTTCCCTGAAAGTAACAATTTTAGTGTTGTTGATTTTAATAGACACTGGATCTTCAGAACAGCATTTGGGTCAGATAGGAAATTAGAAGGAAACTTACAATACACCAGTACTTTCCTCATGAGGTTGCAAGACACCCAGACCTTTCACAATATACTTCTTTTTAACTTTACCATCACTATCACTGTTTTCAGAAGTAAAAACAATCTCATCATTTACTTTGATAGATCCATCTACTACATACAACATTGTAAGAAATCCTCTGTAACGCTCAAACCACCCATCAAAGACCAGAGCACGGAGTGCAGCACCTCGATCTACATCAGGAGGGGGTATTCGTTCAACAATAGATCTCAAAACATCATCAACGCCCATTCCAGTCTTTGCTGATATCTGAAAAATATGAAAACAAAATCAAACCTTTCATTTAATTTTGCAGCAACATGGCAACAATACATGAGTTCACATACCTTCAAAACAGTTGATGTATCAATGTCAAAGAGTTGTTGCAACTGAGATGCAGCCCATTCCGGATCAGCATTTTTAAGATCACATTTATTCAAAACTGGGATAACAACCAACTCCCTTGTAAAAGCCATATAAAAATTCGCAACTGTTTGAGCCTGAACACCCTCATTGGCATCAACAAGCAATATAACACCTAAATGGACAAAAATGACGAGATATTATTTCCCCAAAACTGATACTAATAAAGGTGGAGATTTAATAGACTTACCCTGACAAACAGCCAGAGACCGTGAAACTTCATTTGAAAAATCAACATGGCCTGGGGTATCAATTAAATTAAGAAGAAACTCATCACCATCATAAGTATACCTAATAGATGCAGTTTGAGCTTTGACTGTAATGCCACGCTCTTGTTCTACCTAATAATGCACAAAAGTAATGGCACTATTTTTACTATCACCATCAACAATAATTTTATACTATAAATGCAAATCAATACCGATTTATAGTAAACGGTACAGAAAATATACCTGAAGTTTGTCAAGAACTTGCTGTGTTTTTCCTGCTCCTTGTTGACCCTTGTGTTCGGAAGGGCTCCAAGCTCCAGTGAATTCAAGTAAGCGATCAGCAAGTGTACTTTTGCCATGATCGACATGAGCTATGATACAAAAGTTACGAATGTGACTGACAGGTATATCACTAAATGGTGTTTCACCTTGACTATGTTGACTGTCTACAATTTTATCCCTGCCATCACAGTACAACCTAGTAAAATAAAAAAAGCAAAAACTAAGAATTCTATACACAAGCAGTCGCAGTGCAACACGTAAACTTTGTCCCAGACCAACAAATAAGCACCGTAAGTAACAAGTACAAACCTTATTAAAAGCCTTATTGTTAATAATAGAGATCAAGAAAACAACAAATTGAAAATGATACATGAGTTAAAAAACTTGTCTTACCTATGAAGAGATAACCTAAAGTTTAAATACTGGGACCGAAATTGAAAAGAGTTGATTGAACCAATATGACAAGGTAAAGTGCAGAATGGTCGAAACTTAACATATATTTGTGAAAGATTAGTCATTGTGTTAACGGATATTTGTGAATTCTTTCCATAATTTTTTGATCCTTTATCTCACGCTTTCTGCTTTCTGCGCAACCCTGCGAGTGAACGTCTGCTAAGTTCAGTTTTGCAAACTTTAAAATATCTCATCTGGAATTAAGCATCAGGCAGGGCTCAGTTAAGTCCGCTAACTACGTTCATGATTTAAAAAATAGAAACATTTTAGATTCGTACTCTTAGTTCTGGCGGAACGCTGGCATTAATGTTGTGATATGGTGTATGTCTGGGACGAGTGTGGGACAGCTGGTAAGATTGAATACATGTCTCCCGGCGGCTTGTTTATGTTTGGCCAGTCTTCCCGTCTTCCCTTCCACTTCAGCATTTATCGGTGCTTTTTGTTGCTTTTTAGTCTCTTTTTTCTTTTTGACATTGTTGAGCTGTTGACGTTTGCGCCGTGATAGATTTTGAAGATTTGTGAGCTCAACGCGTTATGAAGGCACTACGATTTTATTGGCATTCAAGGCTTACATAATCAACAAATATTATGGTGAATATTACTGTCTCGCCCATGAATTTTTTTCCGTTTTCGATAAAAAAAATAGTGTAATGAACTCACTTTCTAATTTTCATAGTATAGATTTCTTACAGCATACAACATTCCATTGACATTCTGAAAGGGGTATTCAACTCAACTCTTGATTCAGTTGAAGTCCCGTCATCAACGTCTCGCCCTACTGTGCACCCTTTACCAGAGCATGACTCACAGCAGCAATCTGGCAGTTTACAATTTATTTTAGTGCCTCTTGCAGCCATAGCTGTTCTTTTTTTAGTGTCTGGTTTGGTATGATAACTATTTGTAGGGCTGGATTACTCTTGTTTAAACTTTCCTACTGATGCTCAATACCTTTCTTTAGGTGATACTTTATTTAAGAAAGAGGCGGAACAATAATCTTAGACATCATTTAATACCTCTATATAATTTTGATTCTGATGATGAGGAGTGGGAAACAGAATTACTGGATGATGAATCAGAAGAAATCAGTTTAAGAAGAGTAAGATATTACATGTACATGAAGCAAGTTTGATTGTGTTATGTTCTCTTTTCCCTTAAGTGGTACTTTTGTTTGTTCTACAGGGGTACAAATCCATGGAATTTCCTCTGAGTAATAGAAGTTAGTCATGAGATCGATTTGTCCTCAAGATTTAAATTTCTGATGTTTAGTAAATGATAAAGGATATTTTTTTTAAGTTGTGACAGGTGGTGAAGACTCATGTTGATACATATAATGTAACTGAAATTTGACAGTGTGCACCCGTCTGAATGTGCTTGCAGAAGATAATAAATGCAGGGTCATTAAAAATCTGGCAAATATTTTTTTCCAACTGACATTTATAAGAGAAAATGAGATACATTTGTTATGACTGCAATGGAAAATGACACTTGTAATGATAAGTTTCAGGAACACAATGACATGAAGGATGAATGAAGACGATAATTAGGAAAAACTGCTAACATCACTTCCAAAAACTCTAGCTGTAATGATTGCTTTGGCCAATTTCGCATATCAATACAGGAATCATAAAATAAAATGCATTTGAATATGAATTAAAGATGGATGATAGGACAGTTAAAATTAAAGAGGTGGGCATGTAGAACGATGGCCGAACGAAAATTTTCGCTGTTCTTAAGCAATAAAATGAATACAGTAAAAGAACTGTAAGAAAACCCAACCCATGTTTAAACAGTGGCCATAATCTAAACATGTTACAAGAAGTCTGACAATTTCTACACATGCTATGGCTAAGCTTGCTGCTTAAAGGACTTTCTGTGAAATAAACATACAATCACATTTGTGCAGTCTAAAATAAGTAAGACAGTTGGCCAAGACAAACAAAATGCCAAAAATGGAGTAGCTGTCAACATGGAGATCTTCTCCTTCTGGCAGTGTTGAGTATCCTATTCAAACAGCATACATGATAAAATTATGATTTTCATGATTTAATTTTCCTCTCCTTCTTCCTCGTCCTCCTCCTCCTCTTCTTCTCCAGCTGATTCAGCCTTCTTCTCTTCCTTCTTTGGGCGACCACGACCTCGGCCAGGTACAGCAGGCTTCTGGAGTAATGAGAGAACAATGAGTTAGATGAGACACTAAAGAATGTACAAATTGAAAGAAAAGGACAGTGAAATCTTACCTTGGCTGCTTTGGCAGCCTTGCTTTTCTTGCCGGATCCTTTGGGTCTTCCACGTCCTCGCTTGGCAGGAGCTTCTTCGCTCTTGGCAGGTGAGGCAGCAGATCGTCCACGTTTCTTGGCAGGTGCAGCAGCCTTCCAGAGAGAAATTTTAGATTAATAATGGTCATAACATGATTGATTTAAACATGAGGATTTCCCGATGTATACCTTTCCTTCAGTGGCAGCCTTGCTAGGACGTCCACGCTTCTTCACTTCAGTAACAGCTCCGTCGTCAGACATGATGATTTAGGTGTTTTCAAAGAAGACTGAGATAACCACCTGTAAATATGCAAATTACAATGAGAAAAAGAAATATGAGCACACAGCTTGAAAGGCTGAGCATTACAGCTGATGGGAATCATTTGAAGGTTTACATTATGATGTAAGACTGGAGATGCAGAGATTTTACTGAAGAATGCGAACTAATAAATGAAGATTTAATATCAGCTACTAATATCATTTGCAAATAAGGAACAGAGATGCTGTTATTACAAGACAAAAGATGTATTACGTTATAAGGTAATCTATTGTCCGAATGTAGTTTTAAGTTTAGGCAAACAAGTTTAGATAACTTTTGATAAAATTGCTTTAAGTCTTGATTTAGGTTTGAACAGACTGTAGTTGATGGCTTGACTTCATTCTTCTGGTGTCCTCTTCACTTCAAATATACGGTGAGTAATATATAAGGTAAGCGAGAAAATTAAAGGAACATGCCTGAGAATGTACTATTAATATTCCAGTAATTACAAAAAATTTGAAAAAATCTCAAATAAACTCTGAGCTTAATTTGATCAGTTGCGTAAAAGACAAAAGTAATGAGTCAATTATTAATTGCAAGCTTGATGAATTTGCAGTCAGAAGTTGATTCTTGAAGTGGATCTCAGGCATTAGCAGATCTGGATATCCCAGTAAAAGTGAATTTTACTTAATTCCTTTCCTTACCTCTTGGTGTAATACACAGAGGCCTCCTCTTTGCATGTGATTCCTGCGGCCCCTGCTGGAAAATCATTGTGGTAAATTATACCTTCAAGAATTGAAGGCTGTTAAGATGTGCTAGACTTGGTCGCTTGAATAGGAAAAAGGCCAGAGCACTGAAATTAACAAGGGTAACTTCAGCCACGGTACATCCACTTTGACTGCATCAATCCATATCAAAAAATAAAATTAAGCACAGCAAAAACTCTTTAAAAAAAACTAGGGAAGGTTATTAATTTTTAATGCTTTACAAGACTGGGCTTAAATTTGGAAACTGTGAAAAAATTGACTTTAGCAAAGAAAACAAATTCTTAAAGATCTTAATGTTGAAAATCAAAAATTTAAATTCAGAACAATGCAAGACTATTAATGAGGAAATTTAAATTTGGAATGTGCAGGGTGATCCAGTGAGTGCTCGCGTCGTCGTCTTCAGCCGAAGGATGCAAGCGTCTTCGTCGCCACCAGTATATCAGCGTCTCTCCAGCGTCGGGTCGGGGACGCCAAACAAGCGCGCACGCCCTCTCCCCACCCCACCCCAAACAAGCCTTACGAAAACATCTATTATCACTGATTACAATAAACTAAACCTACAGGACTATAGCCGATGTAAAAAAAACCGTTAGGTAAAATATAACCTGCTATAATCCCGATGGATCCCCGAAAAGAAGAGAACTACTATTAATGCAACCACATCAACATTTTCAGGCAGCAAAACGCATATTTCAAGCGGGCTCTACTAAACTCCCGTGAAAAAATACCACTCCGCAAAAGGAAACAAAATTGGAAACATTTTTTCCGACCCGATATCCCAAGCCTTTCTCCGTACTATCAGAGAAATTCTACTCCGGCTGAACTCAATATAACTATGGTACGCGCCCGCCATTTTCAAAAATTGATTAGGTGATGTGAGAGCTTTATTTGAATAGCACAGCCTCTGAAAGCGTGGAAAAAATATTGTGACGAAAATTGGTTGAGGAAACTTCAGCCCCCGCAAGGAAAAAATCACAAACTCCCAAATAGCTTTACCACGACAAGCGAAAGGCCGAACAATGAACAGTGGTGCCTATGGCTGGGGCGACAGACGCCATGGAGGATCGGTCCGTCAACCGAGGGGGTAAACTAGCTACCCTAAAATGAATTTTCTCAAGCTTCCCGTGATGATAAAAATTGGTTCTAATAGTGCAAAAAATTGCTTAGGATCCGAAGAGATTGTTGCACACATCGCCCACCTTAAATTTTCACCGATAAAGTGGTTAAAGACAAATAGGAAAATTAACACTCACTGCTCTCGCTCCGACCGGCGATCTCCCAACAGCTTCAGCTTACTACAGCCAACTGCCAACCGCCGCGAGCGCGCAGCGCGCCAGCGCCAACGGCCAACCCCGGTAGTGCCGACACTTGTGCCCAGAGGGCGCTGATGTTCTGGCGCCAAAACTTCCACAATTCTAGATATTTATGGTTAAAAATGCCGTCTAAAATGTAATAATCAGGATGTAGAGACGAAAAAAATACTACATTTCACACGTTTTGAACTGTGGCACGGACTGCTTGCATTATAAAGAATGTTATTTTGTTTAAAGAGAGCGAAGTGTAATGCTATGTTGCCAAGTCTCCTTGTTTACCATTTAAAAACTGTATTTTTTTAAATGTGGAAAACGAGATTAACGAGGCCAGCTGCAGGGAAAACAATTCAGTTTATTCGTAATTTATTTTATCCCCAACTCTGCGAGTCTCGTAGCACGCTCCAATCTTCATTTTCCTTTTTTTCGGAATGCCCGAAACCTCACGGAGTCACATCACGACAGTAGTCCTCCGAGAAATGTCACAACATCGCCAGCCAAAATCAGAATCGTCACCTTTAAATTTTGCAGCGGACTACGTATTCCGGTCAGTGTTTTTCGTCGTCCTCCTTGTCATGTTCCACTTCAAATAGAATTAAAATTTTGAAATAATCCACACTTACAGGATACTTTGACGATATTGCCTTTTAAGCCGCTCATGAATGGGGTACTCAGCAAGAGGAAGAAGAAAAGCATTTAGAGTACGAAGGTGCGCGATTGGTCGAGGCTTTCCCTTCGCTTACCCCTCTCGACCAATCAGGAGCAGCAATGTGATATTGCCACCTTCCGGTGGCCGCCTGTCGGCCTCCGTGGCGCAATCGGTTAGCGCGTTCGGCTGTTAACCGAAAGGTTGGTGGTTCGAGTCCACCCGGGGGCGGGCTCACTCATTTTTCGTTCGATATTTTTCGCCAAAAACTTGATCCGTACGTAGGCCTTTTTTTCCGAAATGCGGTACTGTTTCCCATTGAGAAAAAGCCTTTCTCAAAACTGGGATTTGTTTGATGTCTATTGATGTGAATTTCAAAGTACCCTCCTAGTCAATGGGACCAACCTCCAAGAACTTCGTACTTCCGCTAACTATGAAATTAGAGGGTCACTTTTGTTTTACGTTAATATTGTTATATTATACACAAACGATTTCACAATGTTTATAATTTCGGTTTTTTTTTGTTTTTGTATTTTTGGATATTAGTTGTATACCCATTTCAAACATGTATTCTTTTTTTCTTCTTAAGTTGGCAAGTGTTTGTCAACATCAGCAGAACACTTCCTAACCCGGGACCGAGAGATGCACGTTGGATTGAGATATCTTTCTTTAGTGAATCATTTTCCTTCCTGACGTCTTTCGATATGGTGAATGCTGATATTTTAGGTCTATTCCAGGAGAGAGACTTCCTGAGAATATGTGCTCCTATGGTTCGTTATAGCAAGTATGTAAATAAAGGTTATACTGGTGTAGGATTTATTTTGTATTTTTACACTGATGGGTTGAAACTTAACTTTACTTCGAATTTCTACCAGGTTGTCTTTCCGTATTCTAGCAAAGCGGCATGGCTGCGATCTGTGCTTTACTCCCATGATAATGGCTGACTCCTTTGTGCAGTCTGCCAAGGCTCGCAGTAATGAATTTACTACATGTACAGGTATGATCCATTTCTTCGCAAAGAGTTGTAGTAGTTCAGTTAATCTCTCAATTTATTAACTTTTATTCATAGAGGACTCTCCGTTGATTGTTCAGTTTGCTGCCAACTCCACTCTTGACTTTGTAAATGCAGCAGAAATTGTAGCACCGTAAGTTACAGTAAAACTCAATCAAAAACCTAAGATAAATAGCAGTATACTTTGTGTATGTCACTTACTCTACTGTTTCTGTTAGATTTAGTGATGGGGTTGATCTTAATTGCGGATGTCCACAACGGTGGGCTATGAAAGAAGGCTACGGTGCTCATTTACTGACAAAGCCAGAAACAATACATGACATGGTGCGACAAGTTCGCAATAGAGTATCAGACAACTATTCTGTGTCAGTTAAAATTCGTTTGCTTGAGGAGGACAGGTACCAGAAGTCAGTTAATGCCCTCATTCTATATGTAGTCAAGTCAAAGTCATTGACAAAAATCTTTTTCTCGTAGGAAAACTATTGAACTAGCTCGTTCTCTGGAAGCTGCTGGTGTGACTTTCCTTACTCTTCATGCACGAACTACTCAGGAAAGGCATTCACCCATTCATGAAGACTCCTTACATGAAGTATGTCAAAGTCTTAAAGTGCCCTTGGTAGCCAATGGAGATGTAAAATCATTAAAAGGGGCAGAAAGGTTGCATGCTAAAACTGGATGTAAAGGTATTATTCTCAATTTTTTAAATTATCCAATTTACTGAATGAGATACGTAAATAAAAAGGCTTCAAGACCAGCGGCAGTCAATGTTTTGAATTCTTGTATTTAATCTCATTGTTGCAGGCATGATGGCAGCACGTGGCATGCTAGCTAACCCAGCAATGTTTCTAGGATGTGCCACAACTCCTCTCACTTGTGTTCAAGATTGGGTCAATATTTCTCTTGATTTGGGAACAATTTTCAACTGCTTCCACCACCATTTGGTATTTATGCTAGAACACGTTTTGTCTAAAGAAGAGAGGCGTATATTTAACTGTCTCAAAACAAAATCAGCAGTTCTAGATTTCCTCAAAGACACTTATGGAATCACATATAAACCTGGTGAAAGTGGGCTTAGCTCTGCAAGCGATGTGATAATATGTGATAAAAGTAGTATCCGAGAAGAAAATTCTGTTGGTGCATTCTTTACATCAACTGTCCAGGAAGATGAGTCTTATGATGATACTTTGGATAGTTTGGGTGGGTTATACAACTAACTTCAATGAAAATGGTTTCTATTTTACAAGAAAATAAAATTTTGCAATTTTCTTCTCATGCAATTTGTTTTTCCTAATTTTCTTTCTTAAATTTTGCACTTCCTTTGCATGGTTCTCCTGCCCCATGTACTCACCTCTATTGCAGGTCCGCATTAATAAAAATAACATTTTCCTTGAAAAATATACAATGAACGAATGAACGTTCAAATTCGAAAATACCAAACAAGTGCTCCCTTACCACGCTCTCACCCCTCACCCCACCAACTTGCCAACCTCCTCCTCCCCTCCCCAACCCCCACATGATGAGCATGATGACCCCGCCCCCTGTGCTGCGACCCCCTCCGTCTCCGTCCCTCCCCCGAGCCGACCGCAAGCAAGCAAGCAAACTGAGCAAGAAGTGCGCCATGGAGGGTATATGAATGGAGAAACAAGTACGGTTAGAAAAATGGCCGCAAAACGCGTCCGCGCCTGCCCGCTCCCGCCAGAGCGCGCCACCTCCGCTAAGGGGATGGATCGCGGCCGGGACTGCAGCGGTGCAATGGGCGGACGGGGGCGCTCGTCACGTTATCTGGCTCCAGCCCTTAAACCGTTCAGATTTTGACTTTTTGTGTCCAAGGGGGTGCTGTAGGCTATGGTCCAAGCTTTCCGGCGCTGCAATTATTTTCCCTGTGAGACCCATACAACCCGGACTAGAGAGCCGACAAGACCGGCGAAATCGTCTGGGCAAGCCGCGCCGAGGCGCGCCGACACCTAGAACGGGTTCCAGGCCTTGAACCGTTCAAATTTGGACAAAATGCGTCGGTAGTGTGTTTGAAGCCCTTAGGTCTAGCTTTCAGGGGCTGTTGTTATTTTTATTGTGCGAGCACTACCACCCGAGCGGGAGAGCCAGACACTTCGTGTAGCTGGCAATGGTACCTGACATATGGGTAGCACCGTGGGGTACTAGGGCTCTCACTTTTACCCGCGCACCCGGGTTACCCACTGCGGGTCTACGCGGGTACCCGGGTTACCCGCTCCGTGTCTACGCGGGTACCCAGGTTACCCGTTCACCCGGTTCCTACCCGGGTCACCCGGGTACCCACGGGTCACGAGTTTGCGAGCCCTATCGGGTACCTCTGATGACACCAGCCCTGTTCGAATTTGAACGGTGGGCCCCACCCCACGGTACCCAATATCAGGTACCATTGCCAGCTATACGATGTGTCTGGCTCTCCCGCTCGGGTGGTAGTGCTCGCACAATAAAAATAACAACAGCCCCTGAAAGCTAGACCTAAGGGCTTCAAACACACTACCGACGCATTTTGTCCAAATTTGAACGGTTCAAGGCCTGGAACCCGTTCTAGGTGTCGGCGCGCCTCGGCGCGGCTTGCCCAGACGATTTCGCCGGTCTTGTCGGCTCTCTAGTCCGGGTTGTATGGGTCTCACAGGGAAAATAATTGCAGCGCCGGAAAGCTTGGACCATAGCCTACAGCACCCCTTTGGACACAAAAAGTCAAAATCTGAACGGTTTAAGGGCTGGAGCCAGATAACGTGACGAGCGCCCCCGTCCGCCCATTGCACCGCTGCAGTCCCGGCCGCGATCCATCCCCTTAGCGGAGGTGGCGCGCTCTGGCTAGCTCTGGCGGCGGGCTGCGGCGGCTCGGCTCGTCCGGACGCGTTTCGTGGCCATTTTTCCCCGGCCCGGCGGCCGCAGAAGCTCCTCCATACCTTTACTCTCCATGAGTGCGCAGTGTTTTCAGAGAAGTTCGAATTCGACGGCCGTTGCTCCGCTACGAGTATTGTTGGTTGTATCGGCCTAGAAGTCAGTACCGTCCGCAAAGTCGTAAATTTTTCCTGCAATCATGGCTTGGCAACCTCTTGAATCAAACCCAGAAGTAAGTGCAAACTATTTAGGCAACTTATTCTTGCCGGTTTAGCCGGTACATAAAACAAAGTCTCTTTAAGACTTGTACACCGACTTAATTCTTATTGGTGTGTTTCTTGTGTTCATCCTGTTCAGATTATGAATGATAATTTATTTATTACCTGGACTAGACTTTTGCTTATACAAGATAGATGCAGTCTCATAACCTCATCTGTCAGAAACTTATGTATGAACTTGAATTTCGTAGGACATTAATCGTTCTTCTTGCCTTGGTTCATTAGCATATTCTTCACCTTTGTTACTAATATTCATGTGAAACTTTATTTTTCTTTCCAGGTGATGACCAAGGTACAGTTAAAAGAAGATGAACCAGAATCCTCCTCTTACCTCGGAATTCTACGCTAATTATGTAGCCAGATTAAGTATTTTTTCTGCTCTGTATAAAATTTTGTGTGGATATTTTCAGTATATTCAACGAGCTGGAGTATCTGATGACATTCAGGTCGTTGATGTATTTGGACTGGACCCTGACATCCTTGCAATTGTTCCTCAGCCTACGTATTCATTAATTTTACTTTTTCCTTGTTCTGACATTGTGAGTTTAAAGTTGAAAAGTCTTTCTTGTGGTGCCTTATACCATGAATTATTATTTTTAATTTTTTATGTTTTTTACGTAGTATGAGAAGTTTAAAGCTGATGAAGAAGAAATGTTAAAAGACAAGGATCAAAAAATTCCATCGTCCACATTTTTTATGAAGCAAATAACTCCAAATGCATGTGGGACAATTGCTCTAGTCCATGGAATCCTTAACAACCTTGATGAGTAAGACAAGTTATTTTATTTTTTTACAGTTCATACTGTTTCTCCTTTTCCCCTCAATTATATAAAATATTTGTTAAATTTTAAGGATCAAGTTGAAGGATGGTATTTTGAAAGACTTTATAGAGAAGGCAGCATCACTCAGTCCCCTGGAACGAGGAGACCTCCTCGACAAAATGGGCAGCATAATTGATTTGCACAAAGAAGTTGCTGCTGAAGGGCAAACTGAGGTACCATGTGATTTGATTTGTCTGTTAACTTATTAACACCACTGACTGTTATTTCCAAATATTTGTGGGTTTATGGTTTATTTAAATTTCCCTCTCACCAGGCACCACCTGCTGAAGAAAAAATCATCCACCACTTTGTAGCATTTGTTCATAAGGAGGGAAATTTACTTGAACTTGGTGAGGCATTCGACTTAATTTGAAGCGGGAATCCTCCATGTCCACTGAACTTCGTAATAAACCATTTGAATTTTATGTCCTTTTTGGCAGATGGCAGAAAGTTTGGCCCCATTAACCACGGACCAACAACTCCTGAGACATTCTTGGCTGTATGTGGTTTTTTAAAATCTATATTTGATGTATACTTTAATCTTGTGCAATACCATAACTTACGTTATCTTTTCTTTTTTCTCAAAGGATGCAGCAAAAGTGTGCAAAACCTTTATGACTCGTGATCCTGAAGAAGTTCGTTTTACAATTGTTGCTATCAGCCGTGATCAAAACTGAAAACCACTCTTATCAAACATGCTTGCTTGTTATCAACTGCTTTGGTTGTGCTTTTCATTTTGAACTCTATTTCACTACAAATCCTTCTGTCTAGTAGTGTGAATAATATTATTATTTATATTTTGTATACTTACAAAGCCCTTTTATATTTTCATTAAATCCTAAATTTTACCAGACCTGTAGTTTGATTTCAAATTTTATTTAACTACTTGCATGGTTCCTTCATATTTAAAAAAAATCAGTTCACCACTACAGAAGATCTACTTAACTTAACTTTCCATCTTGGATATTCTTTGCTTTTTTCAGGAATTCTTTGGCCAATGAAGGATTTTTTTCTACTCCTCTTCCAAGCTGATATGCAGCACTGACTTCATGACATGCCTTAAAATTATCTAAATTACAAGCCTTGCTGAAGTACTGAAAAGCTTTAGCAAAATCTTGAGGTACTGATGTTACATCTTCTGGAGATCTCAAAATCAGACCAGCATCATAGCATGAGTTGTGACTGAAGTAGTGGTTCATATCACAGTACCTTAAATGTTGCTCTAGAGCCTGAGAGAATAAAGGAAGAAAAGTAGATAAATTGTTATTATTTTTTGTAATAAATCTTTAAGTGAAGGGATAGAAACAAAAATTACCTGAGGAAACATTTTCTCCATTTGTAAAATCTGGGCATTTCTCCAACACCCCTCTTGTTCTCCAAGCTCACATGCCATAGATGTGTAGTGCAATGCCTAAGGAAGATTAAGATTTTCAATTAGCAACATTCTTTTAATTTATGGACAGAAAATGTAAGGTTTCACTTAACACATTTTAACTTCATTTGTGGACTAAAACAATATTGTGACAGTGACACAGTATGTGGTGAAATCTCCGAAAGCAAACCAACTTTGAAAGTAAACTTACCTTCTTTACATCAGTTTCAGCTCCAACCTCTTTACCATCGACAAGAGAAACTCCATACTTGTAACAGCTACGAGGATATTTGAACTTTTCGCATGCATGCTTGTAATGTTCTATGGCTTCCTTAGGTTGTCTGAATTGTGAGAACCAGTCACCAAGCAAATGGCAAGCTGGAAGAAGTAAATATCATACTCAATAAATAATGTTTGAAGCAGAGGGAAGTTAGTAAGTACCTGTTAATAAAAATTAGGAGTAAATATAAAGCCCACCTTCTGGGTTTTCTTCTTTAAAACATTCAAAACTGTAAGTAATCCTAAGCTCCTTCAAGTACTCCTCGTATTCTTCAGGAGTGTTCAAATTTTTTGTACTCATTTTCTTATTAGTTCAAAAATTAACTAGGTTATGTAACAAGCTAAATCTTTCTTGACGCTGATGCAAGAGATGATTGACGCTATATGATCAACATTAAAGTGAGAAAGTTCACACGAATTCACGGCCCTTTTCCAAACTTTACGAGACCTTTTTCATGACAAAGTTAATCGGTATTTCCTGCAAATTTTGGCCAAGTTTTGGTTGCAATCGGCCAGCGCCAGTAGCAGACAGAAAGCGTAAGCTGCTGAAGTGTGAATAATATCTTCCTGTAAATAACGCGGAGTCGACAAGGAGTATTCACGGTCGCTTGCGACATGGAGTAGTGACGTCGACAACGCGCAGCTTGGATCGTGGATCGCTACACTCTGCCGTCAATGAGTATCACCTTCAGGCTTCACGCTTTACGTGTCATACGATTTTAACGCGTCAACGAAGAAGATGAAAAGTCTACTATTGCAGCGAAATTCTGTCGAGTGGGGCCATGGATCTTCTGCGGGACTCCAGGTGCGTAAAAGATTTTGCATATTTCACCCTCCCTGTCATTGCAACTGAAATCGGTCAAAGTGATGTCAACGACGTGACGCCAAAATGATATGTAGAAATCCCATCAGATTTCCGTCTGCGAATACCGCGGGCATCCTGACTATGCGGATGAGGTGGGCGTCTCCACTGTCGTGTTATGGGTCAGGGATACAATATACAACATCCACAACGAATGCACCCAGGACGACGACGTCCTATGGGTGGACCGCCAACTTCACATGGCTGCGTGGCGGGTTGGCCTACCCAGCGCGTCGCAGGCGCTAGCATTAGCGCTGCCTTGCGAAACGTTTTTTTTTTTTTGGGGGGGGGGGGGCGAGTGCGGACACCTTTCCTCTTCACAGCCTCGAGCACCCGGGTTCGTCAAAGTGACATCGAGTATTGAGTCAAGATTGGGTCGTCACGCCACTTGTAGTGATGTCCAATGGTCGGTCAACCCCCCACTCCACCTGTCTGCCATCTCTCTTGCACGCGCTAGCCGGCCAGTAGCTCCGTCCCTCTCGCTCGCTCGATGGGCACCCATCGGCGCCGAGCGACCGACCATTGGACACCACTAGCCACTTGGTGTCATTTCGACGGTCAACCTGTGTTGTCTGGGGTCCGACCCAATACGTAATAGGTCACCAATACACACAAACACAGAAATTGATTTCTCGTTTCAAGTACATTTTGTACGAAAAGTGACCCAAGACTATTTTTTTGCTTCATACAAGACGAATTTTCCTTATCTTGTAGCACATATCGTTCTTAAAACGTTTACGAAACCTTCAAAGAACCAAAAGAACGTTCTCGGAACGTTGTCGTTGTCTTAATGCTTGGTTCTACAAGGGAGTTAGAAAATTTTCTCAATCGAAAGGTAATATCATCTTGCGTCAAGAGTAACATTGGTCTTAGGTCAAAATATACTCACTTGAAATAAGAAGCCATTTATCTGAGTGTCTGAGTGCACGTTGAGCTCGCGAGGTGCAGAGCCCACCTTTGCCCTCACCCCGTCCCCGCGCCCCGCGCCTCACGCCGTGCCCTTCTCTCTTGCACTATACGCGAATTGGACATTATTTTGACCCCCCTTCGCCTTCGCTGTCGGCTTATTGTCCATTACGATCAGCCCCCCCGCGGGCAAAGAAGTGATTTGGCGATTCGGGAGCGGCCCTAAAGCGAAGCCATACTGTTGTTTCCACCGCCCCCGCCCCCACCTCTCTCTCAGGCCGTGCCATCTCCTCCTGACATTTTTATCACGTTTAGAACAAATAAAGGTCTCGCTGCACCCTGCCCACCGCGCACTGCTGCGCACTGCTGCGCCGCGGCGGCCGGGGCGCGGCGGGGAGAGCGAGAGAGAAGGAGGAGGAGAGTGATGGCGACCGCAGCGGCGGGGAATAGGCGAAGAATACGTGTGGGGAATAGAACGGAATACCCCCAATACCACCTCGGGCGCCCCGCCCCACCTCCCCGCCGCCCTAGATTGAGCTAGCCGTGCTGCCTGCCGTGCCCAACACAATGGATAGCAGCGTTCCCCGGCGCTGGCCAATAGGGTTTTATGTCTGTTCCCCCCCCCCCCGAAATTTATTCCACAATTTAGCCTCCGCTTTTGACCGGGTAGGGGGGAGGAGCCCGCGCTGCTCGCCGTGGACCCACCCCGGGGGCTCGCCGCCGCGGGGCCGAGGTCTCTTTACGCTCGGACCCCGGTATACGCGCGCTAAATTTTGAACAAAGCGTCTCCACGATAAAAATGGCCACGCCATCCATTTGGGCGCCATAACTCCGGGCGCCAGGGACGTCTCATGAAATCTGCCAGATGGAATTCCGTCGTTACGTATTCTTGGCTCGGAACGGGAGCAAAGAAGATTACAGGGGAAAAGGGGGAGGGAGGGAGGGAGGGAGGGGCCACGACGAGATGTAGGGGCATGTCCGCGGCGGGCGCGGGGGTGCCGCCCAGCCAACCCCGCTTCCCCACCAACGACCCGGTCGCTAAAATTGGGCGGCTCCATTGTCAACGTAAAATAAACAAAGTATCCGCGGGCCGTGGTCCGGTCCGATCCGGCCCGGGGCGAGAGCGCAGCGGGGCAGGACAACGTGGCGATCAGAATCTGTAATGGAGACAGGTCCTTGGTCCTTCCCTATCCGAGCTGGCTCTCCTTGCGGAGGGGAGGGGGAGCCGAACGGCGGCAGGGGCTCTTTGGGAAATTGCTGCTATCCTTTGAATGCTAACAACAACAATTAACCCTGTGCATAATTGAGTTGCCGGCCCGGCCCGGAGGAGGGGTGGGCAGCAGGGTGAGCCGGTCCGGTCCCACCGGCCCCGGGAGGGGAGGCGGGTGGCCTACCTACTCGGCTGCGATCGAGGTCTCGAAGCAGCGGGCCGACCGATTATTTCCGGCTCGGCGCTGGCTGGGGGCCCCTCGCCCTCCTGGCAGTGCGGTGGTTTGTCTCGCCTCGACTCCGCCAGCCGTTTGAACGCGAGTAAAAGAAGACTTGCGGGGGTCTAAACATGGCTGGCGGCCCGGCGTGTCTGCTGCCGCGGGGGGCCGCGGGGGCTGCTGCCCGCGCGGGGCCTGCTGCCCGCGCGGGGCCTGGAGGGGCGTATCGTCGTGCGAGAGAAAATGGGGGGGGGGGTGGAGGGCTCTCTTTCGCGCCGGCTCGCCTGGCCTCCACCTCTTTCTTTGATGAAGGGACGCACAACCTGAACGGACGGGAAGAATGGACGCCGGCCCGCTTTACGAGTCGACGCTGGGCCAATGGGCGGCGCCGGGGCGAGGGGAGAAGGGGAAAGGG